AGTCTTTAGCCTATCATCAAAAGCACTGTTCCGGTTTAGGAGAAGCAACTCAAGAAGTCAAATTACCTACCAAGGATGTCAATAACTTTGAGAAGTTTAAGAACTATGAATGAATGATCAATGCTTCATATGTTATTATAGCTGACTTTGAGGCTGATAATATGAAATGCAATGAGAAATATGGAGGGCAAATATGAAAGCTTGCTGAACAAAAGGCCAATAGCTTTTGCTACTTGGTTCACTGGATTGATACTGGAAATGTATAGGGCCCATTCCTAATAGAAGAGAAAATGCTACTCAGGAGTTTGTCAAAAGAATTGATAAAGAGTTGGTCAAAATTAATAAAGTTTTAGCTATAAAACATAATTGAATTGAGACTAACAAAGACAAAAAGAAATTTAATGAAGCAGATAGTTATTAGATATGCAAAGAAAAATTCATTATAGATAAAGATAAAGTTTAAATGCTTAGAAAATAAAGCATCATGGCTTAATAATAAGCTAAAAAATACCTCAATAAATTCAGAAGATTATAAGACCTTAACAAAACAAATTGATAAGATAACTAAAGATATTAATCAAGAAAAGTTTATAGATATAAAGGTTTGGGATTACTGTCATATTACAGGTAAGTTCCGAGGAGCTGCTCACAATACATGTAATCTCAAACTTCAAATCGAAGCATAGAAAACTCCTATTCCAGTTGTCTTTCATAATTTTTGGGGCTATGACTCTCACTTGGTTTGCGAATCTATTGGAAAATCAGTTAATGCAAATCAAATCAAGGTTGTAGCTAAGACATTTGAGTGATACAAGTCTATGAAGGTAGGCCAGCTTAAATATATAGATAGCATGCAGTTTATGAATAGTAGCTTAGCTAGTCTTACAAAAAATTTAGGTGATAATCATCCAATAACATCTAAGCACTTCAAAAAACTAGGCTATACAAAAGATCAATTAGATTTAGTATATCGAAAAGGAGTTTATCCCTATGATTATATAGATTCACAGGATAGGTTTTTAGAGACTGAGCTTCCACCAATTCATGAATTTAGTACATATCTTCATGGTAAAATTAGCCAAAAAGATTATGAGCATGCCCAAAAAGTATGGAAGGAATTTAACTGCAAGACTTTAGGTGAATACCATGATATATATCTTAAAACTGATGTGCTTAGTCTTGCTGATGTCTGGACACAGTTGCGAAAAATGTCTATGGAATATGATGGACTCGATCCTAGCCATTATGTTTCACTTCCAGCATATTCTTGGAATGCTATGCTTAAGATAACAGAAGTTAAAATTGAGCTCTTTACTGATATGGCTATGCATGATTTTATAGAAAAGGCTAAGCGTAGAGGTATAGCTATGGCATGTAAACGATATTTCAAAGCTAAGAATCCTAAGATAGGTAAAGCATTTAACCCATCTAAACCAACAACATGGATTCTATATGTAGATGCAACAAATCTTTATGGCTAGGCTATGAGTCAGTATTTGCCTATTGGAAATTATAAATAGGAGTTAAGTTGTAAATATCTTGAAGATAATCCAAGTGAGCAAAAGAAATATCTTGAAAAGATTCTTAATACTAAAGCAGATGCAAAAAGAGGATATTTTCTAAATATTAAGATGCACTTCTTTCTAAAAACTCATGACTATTTGAATGATTTACCTCCAGCTGTAGAAAACATGGCTGTAAATAAAAATATGTTGTGTCCCTATACTACAGAGCTTGTAGATAACTTGGATAGTAGACGTTTCTCAGCTACAGAAAAATTAGTACCCCATCTTGGTCTACGAAAAGATTATGTTATTCACTACCAAGAGCTTCAATACTATGTAAAATTAGGTATGATAGTAGATGAAGTTACAGAGATCTTATCATTCGATCAGGATAATTGGCTTGTCCCCTATATAGCTTTTAATACAGAAAAACGTAATGAGGCCAAAAAAGCTGAAAATACATTTCTAAGTGACTTTTTCAAACTCAAAAATAATGCTGTATATGGTAAAACTATGGAGAATGTTCATAAGTATCAAGATGTCAAGCTCATGGCTATAAATAATGAGCAAGATAAAAAAAAATTCATTAACCAGATTCATAAACCCTTATTTAAGTATGCTAGACAACTTGGTTCTTCACTTATAGGAGCATATATAGGAAAAGCTAGTATAACTCTTAATAAATCTATTATTGTTGGAGCATCAGTCTTGTGTCTTAGCAAACTTCACATGTACCGCTTTTGGTATGGATATATAAAAGAAAGATATGGTAATAATGCTCAGCTTGGATATAAGGATACAGACTCATATTTATTTCAAGTTGAGACTGAAGATATCTATAAAGACATGGAAGAGTGACCTGATCTTTTTAACCTTAATAGTGCTACAACTATTGGCAAATTTAAGAATGAAACTCCAGATAGTGTAATTACAGAATCTTATCATATCCAGGCTAAATCATATCACCATGCTTTAGCAGATAAGTCTACAAAGTCTAAGCATAAGGGGGTTAGTAAAAAAGGCATAAATGAAATGGCCATGAATTTATACATGACAGCTTTAGAAGGGTCCTTGCTAGATAATCCGATAGATAAATCATTATTATCAGAGCAAGAAGCTATGCGAACTGAGGCAGATCCTATGACTCTAGTATATCGAGACTGTCTTTTTGGTAATAAAGTATTCTATGCTAAGAATATAGGTATCCGATCAAAAGACCATATATTATCTTTGGTTGAATTAGAAAAGAAGGCTCTTTGCTCTATAGATACTAAGCATTAGATATTATCTAATAAAATAACAAGTTTGCCATATTGGCATTGGTGTATATAAGCATATAAAAATTTTGTATCAAATAGAATATCTCCAGAGTTGGCTGAACAAAGAGCTTTAAGCATTAAGCTCTCAAAGAAGTATCAAAATGAAAGTGTATTCCATATATCTATGACTCTTTAATTATTAATATATAAAGTTGGTAACTGTTATCAAAATGGTTGGGTAGTTTTTATATTTTTATATGAAAATATAGATGCTTTTTATATTTTTTGAAAGATTATAATATTTCATAAAAATATATTTTATAAAATTATATGACTTTTTATGAAAGTTATTTATATCTTCTTACTTAACTACCACCTTCATTAATAAGGCTGAATGGAATCAGCTTACAATTCGAAAAAAAAATCCATTATCAGAAAGAGAAGCCAGTAGTATTAGCCCTATTATAGAGGCATTTTTAAAACATGAAGTTGATAGATACTAAAGAAATAAAAAATCTCAATATAATCCTACAATAGAAGCAGAAACAAAGTCTCAAAGCTCAGCTTTCTCAGTACTCTATACCAATATTGCTCCATTATACTCTGAAGAAGAGGTTAATGCTAGAATCAAAGAAGCTACAGATAATTTATGTCAAGAATTTATTAAATCTACTGAGGAAACCTTAAAAACTATTAAGCAACAGAAAGATATAGAATGCAATCAAATTAAGATAGATATGGCTAATTGGAGTACAAAATTATTCGAACATATATTAAAAAAATATATATGAGAGGGTACTATATATAATTTTATTTATACATTAGAAGAAAAAGATAGTAAATCATATTCTAACAACGGAGTTGGTGCATAAGCACATATATCTTGGAAAAACTGATTCATACATTCTTCCTATATAGAAGTATTTTGAACTTGAGATATATTAATTATTTTTTTTTTATTGCAGAGCAATAATCCTTTGAGTCTTGATCTGTAGTTATGCAGTTTACTTTAATATTTGATCTGTGAACTGAAATAGGAACAAATATATTGCCAACTCTAAATTTACACTTTTTATAGTCTACTTTACCTCCAGCAAGATCAAGCCAGTTAGTGCCAATAATCAAAGCATATTTGTCATAATCAATAACTATTACATTATGTATTATTGTATAATCTGTATCTCTTGTTAATGATCTATTTGAAAATGTAATTGGTACATTATAACACCATCCATATGAGCTAGCATTAGTGGCAACTCCCTCAAGAGATGGAGGATTGGTTGTATCAATTTTTAATCTAAGATGCCTTGCTAGTTTTTTACTTAACATAGTACTCTGAGAACCTCCATCCAATACCATTTTGGGAATTAAAATATTATTAATTCTATATTCAGCAGTTGTAAGATCATTAGCAGAATGACATACCAAATTAATATCTATAGGTTCATCTAAAGCCATAGAGCTTGCTAATTCTGGTAATAAATTATAAGAAGATAAAAGAGTTTTAAATTTGTTAAGAATATTTCTAAGCTCATCTTGAAAAATTTTTTTACAAATCTCAATAACTTTTTGTTCTATCTTTTTATAATTATTGTGAGCTGGCTCAGCTAGTAATAGTTTTTTAACTACTTTTTTTTTACAAAATTTATAGCTACAGTGGAATTATTGCAAAGCATTTCTTCAGGTCTATCTTCAACTTCTACATACTCGACATTTTCATTATCCTTATCCTCATAAACTATCTTTTCATAAACTTCCTCTTCCTTATTATTAGGATCTTCTGTTGCTTCTTCATAGGTAACCAAGTTTACTCATTTATTTTTAGGTCTAACAACCTTTTTAATAACTCTCTTTCTAACAGATGGTTCTTTTTTCTAACAGTTCGGGATGCATTAACTATATTCGTAGTAGGAATAGTAGTATTTCCTCCAATTCTTCTTGCAATATTAACAATAGCAAGATCAATTTCCATTGGATCGTAAGGTCTTTCATCTTCTATATCAAGACCCAATCTGGTATAATCTATTATTTTTTGTAAGGCTTTGGCTTTTTCAGACTTTGGATGAATTATTTTCCCTCCAGGTGGTAATTTGCTTAATGGGGTAGGAGTTATTCCAATTCTTATCTGTCTTGCTTGATCATTCATAAAATTATTTATATAAAATTCCTCAAGTCGATACTCATGACCAGGAGGTAAAGGTGGAGGTATGTTTTTTTGTAACTAAGGTTGAATTACTGGTTGAGAAGGGGTTTGAAAGTTTTACTGTAACTGGGGTTGTATTATTGGTTGAGAAGAGTTTTGAAAGTTTTGCTGAAACTGGGGTTGTATTATTGGTTGAAATAATGCAAGTTGAGAAATTCCATTGGTATAAATAGAGCCTTCCCCATATGTAAATGTATCAGGTTTTCATTCTATCAACATATTTTTTAGACTTGTAAAGAATGCCAGAATATTTGCTGAAGGTGCTATTGTTATTTAATTGTAAAGCTCTGTTGGTAATTAATTTTTAAGCACTCCTAATACATAGTTATCATTATTTGGTACTCCTAATAAAAATGGTTTGATTCTTGTTTCGTAAGTTTCTGGAGTATTATATGGCATAAATTTTTCTTGTGTTAATCTTTGAGTTGCGATTTGTTGAGTACCGATATTATTTCTTTGATATTCTGTATTAAGCCATGCTAAAAACAATGCTGGTGTATTGACTGCAACTCCTGCTTGATTATTAAATAGATTGGGTGGTATATATTTTCCTCCTATCTTTGAAGCTAAAATCTGGGTTTTTATAACATCATTAAAGGCTGCCACAACATCTAGTGTACTACCACAATTATATAACTGTTTAATTTTATTAACATAGTCTTCTGGAGGTTTTTGGCCAATATATTGTGGAATTGGTGCAATTAAGAGGGTTATCACAGCTATTACTTCTTGTATTGTTGCCATGTTTACTAAAATTGGCATGTTATTTTGTAATTGTAAAATTTGTTGATTCAAATTATTAATTAATTGTTTAGAATTTCGAGCTCGAGTTTTCTACTTACCCTATTTGAGATCAAGCTGAACATTAGCAAATAATAGGTCATTTTTTAAAGTCTTGTATTTTCTCTTCTATTTGTTATATTAATTTCTTGTAAGATTTAAGAAATGTGCAGTTGTCACTCCATCAGCTTTACAATTTTGTAATTGCTTTTGAGTTTGTCTATTCAAAAGACACAATATAAATTTTTCTGCTAACAACTCTGATATTTGTCTTTTTTGTGTATGGATTGTAATTCGACCATCAAGTTCTTGAGATTTAAATATATTGTGTTGTGTTTTGTGGGCCTCATAAGCTTGGTAAAGAAGGTTATAGTCATTTTGGAGCATAGCTAACTGGGTTTTGAATCAGTTAACTGGGTTTGTAAATCAGCTAACTGGGTTTGTAAATTAGCTAACTGGGTTTGCAAATTTGCTACTTGATTTTCTGCATTAATTGCACGAGTATTCACCTGTAGATATATATCTAGTACTAATCTTTCAAACCTATTGCCGGCATCTGAAATTATATTAAGATAATCTATAATACCATTTATTGTAGATGCTATTGTGACTGGACTTTGAAAATACTGTCTAATATTATTAATCTCTCGCTGAATTCTATTATTTTGAATCATGGCTTGATTTTCAGATAGAGATAATCTAGGTGATCCTGGTTGTTATGCCATCTCTATAGTATCATTGGAATTTTTATACAAAATAAGTATTTTTTCATTAAGCTTGTCTATTTCATTTTGAAAAAATACTAACTGCTTTTCTAAATAAGCTATATAATTTTCTTGATTTTTTGACTCTTTAAATACTTTTTCTAACTGTTTTATAAGATTAGAAATTTCTGATCTTAATGGATTTAGCTCCTTATTCTGAATTGAGATTTCTTTTTCAAGATATTTAATATAATCTTCTTTAGAAACTAGATCCTGTTGTAATTTGCAAAATCGATCTTGTATTGTCTACAAATATTCTTTAGCCTTAACTAATCTATTTGATCTTTTATTATGCTCCATCCCTTAATATATATTGATTCTAAAAAAGTAAAAAAACTTGAAATATCTATTGCATTGCAAAAAATATATTATCAACCTTCAGGTTATCAAAGAACTGTTAAGAATCTTTTTAATGCTTCAGAGTGTAGTAGGTTTGATTTTACATTAGCTGAAATAGAAGAATGGCTTGAAAGACAGTTATTACATTTAATTTATAAACCTCAACCAAAGTATATTCCTTGTGCTAGTTTTAATAAAATTACTGTTCTTATGGAAGTTATACAAGCTGATATTCTTTATATGTCATATGATAAAGTAGGATCTATAACTTATATATTTTGTTTTACTTGTATAGATATAGCATCAAGATATAAATGAGCAGAACCAATTGGAACTACTTTGGATATTTTGAATATGAATGAGCCTTCTTTGGAAGGTATACTAACTTTTGCTATAGTTGCTAAAGTTTTCGTTAAAATTTTTAATAATTCAAAATGTCTTCTTACATGGCCTAAATTATTATTAACTGATATGGGTTCAGAGTTTAAAGGAAGCTGTGAAAAACTTATGAAAGAACATGGTGTTAAAATCCAAAAAGCTAGTTCTAAAAGTAGTATGGGTATAGTTGAAAGATTTAATTGAACTTTAGCTAAAAAATTATTTTATATTCAAGATGCACAAGAGTTATTGCTACCTTTACCTAAAAGATCAAGAGCCTGGGTTAAGAATCTCCTAATTATTATTAATAACCTTAATAACTCTGTAACTCGGCTTCTTGGTATAACTCCTAATAAAACTATTAAAAAGAAATTTGTATATGCTAAAGCTTCTAAACCAAGATATGGACTTATAGGTTATAATGAGATTCGATTAACATATAATGATCCTGTTTTATATTTACTTAAGCCTGGTGAATTGGAAGGTGAAAAAAGACATGCTACTGATATAAATTGGTCTCCTCAGATTTATTATATTCATGAATCTCTAGTATAAAAAAATCAACCAGTTTTATATTGGATTGAAGATATTAATAGAAATGGACCAAAATGGTCTTTTATTAGAGAAGAGCTCCAAGTCATAAAGAATGTGCAATTACCTCCTCAGTGGGTGCTTACAAGTTAGTTCCAAAAGAGAATCAAAGACTCACAATATGAGACGTTCATGAAATATTTCAAGTTAGTGTTCTTGGTTTTTTATAAATTAAGAAAATCTTCTGCTTCTTTATCAATTTGTGCTTCTTTAATAAAATGATCTTTAGCTAAATTGTAATATAATTTATATGGTTTTATAATAGAAGTAAATATCTTTGGGTCTTGTCCATAAAATTCTTTATAGTCATTTTTGATTTTATGATATTTTTCTTCATTGGGAAATATTGTCATAGCTAACTTTAATATATATTCTTCTGGGTCTTCTGCTTGATGTAATTTTAAAATTCACTCTTTATAACTTTGCATGAACTTACCTTCTTTTGGCTTTTTATAATAAATGCCTGCTATAACTACATTAATTAAAGCTTGCTCAACTTCTTGATAGGTGGGCTTGGTTTAGATATCTTTTGTATCTTGAGTTTGATTACTCATTGTATATAGGTGCTGGTAATCAGTTGTTTGTATTAATATACCAGATCTTTTGTTTAAATTAAAATTATTCATATTTATATACCATGATAGGTAAATATACTTGTGATTATTTACTCAGAACTGAAGTTATTTGTGGATATACTTGTTGTCGGCCTAAAGGATGCCATGAATATTGGAAGGCTAGAAAGCATTTTTCTTGCAAAGTTTGTAGTAAACCGACTAGCTCTAAACCTGGCCTTTGTAGAAAGCATGCTAATAGATATTATGTAACTCAGTATATTAATAGACTTCAGGAAAAGGCTCAGGAGCTTCTACTTTATAAAAATTAATATCACTATACTATAATGATGATGCAGACACAAATTTATCGTCATTTGAATAACAACACAAGTGCAGATTTATACTCTACAATAATAAAATGTTATCTTTTTTGATATAAATTTGAGTAAATAAATGTGTTCTAGCTATATAAAAAATTTACACCAAGCTAAAGTATATAAAAGTGCTATAAAATATAGCAGGATGATGATTAAAGCGATTTTTAACAATATGTCATATAAAGGTGTAGAAAAGTGACCCCAGAACTTCTTTTTTGCCTCTACTAAGGCCTTATCTTAATATCAAAAAAAAAATTACCAAATAGTACAATACTGAACAAATTGACAAATAATGTAATTTTGATAAATAATTGTCTAATACATTTAAACAGCATATGCTTATTTATCAAATTACTATTATTTTATAATTTTGTATACTTATTTAAAGCTTTAAATTAAGTATTTTATATAAATTTATGTAATATTTATATTAATATATGTATTTTTTAAAATATAGTTCTATAAAGAATATTTTATATACAGAATTACTTTATATTGCCTATGATAATCATTACTAGTAACATAACTACTATATAAATTATGAAACTATAACTAATTCAGCTCTACTTTTCTTATTAGTT